GGGGGGGGACAATTGTAATCAATAACTTTTCCTGACCTCTGTGCTTTGTTCCTCCTGTAGGAATGCTGTCAAGTTCGTCGTGTGGCGTTCGTGCACATGAAGAATTGTCATTACCTGCTCAACACAGCGCGACTACGTGATCTGGACCCAGCAGCTCTTGTCGGACAAGGGTTGATGAAGTTTGTCGTGCTGAAACGGGGGGTGGAAGCGAAGGTGTGTGCGCGCTTGATAGGTCTACCTGTTTTTCAAATTCCACACTTTCAGCGTAATGAATCCGTCACCCAAGATAAGATTATCGGGTTTCAAATTTCCAATGCAGCGAAGTGCGACGGTGCGTATGCTGCTTCGATGACCAGGAAATGTCGAAACGGAGAACCCTAGCTTCGCATCCGGCCGAAATGTTGAAAAGTGAAAGTGTGCGGGTTGTGCTGTGTGGAATCTGGCATCAAAGTGTGTATAAATTCATTCACTTGCAAACCTAGGAACAAGCAAGAACAGGAAAGAGACAAGGAAGGAGCTTCGTAAACCCGATTTTTTAACGATCAAGTTCGCACGGCTTGCCTTTTTAAGGATCAGGCTCGTCCGGCTTACCGCTTATCCCCCCCCAATAAAAAAAATAAATAAAGTTGTAACGACAAGCAGGGAGTCGTAGTCATAGAGTTTATCATCATCAGGCTAAACATCTTTAGTTACAGAAATGCAGAGAAAAAGAGACATACAGGGGTATATCTCAAATTGCAAGACTTCCTAACGAACTGTAAGAAAACTTTCCAAATGAACTTTCCACTTTCCGAACGACCAAGAATGGCAAGAACACATCGTAGTGGGTACTTCTCCTCTAGTCGTAGGAAAACACTGCCGACCAGGGACGGTCTTCTTTTCTTTTTTCTCTTTTTTCTCCAAGGACAACCGCCTTCAAATATCATCAATGAACTGAACGCCCCCAGGCAATTCCGATTGATTTTATTATTCCCTTCATCTGATATATATCTCTCTCTGCCTACGGTTTACCGGGCAGTTCTATTTGTGACGATATATATATAGTGCCAGCGGCGTGTCTGGAGTGTATTTTTTGGCTGTGACAGACCTTTCTTGTTTCGTGGATGTTTTGCTGGCTTGTGATGGGGTGTGAACCG